AACTCTATAAGTCACTCATAATTCCCGTCCTGCTATATGGTGCAGAGGCTTGGACGATGTCAACAACAGATGAGTCGACGTTGCGAGTTTTCGAGAAAAGTTCTCCGAAAGATTTATGGTCCTTTGCGCGTTGGCTAAGGCGAATATCGCATTCGATGGAAGATTAGCTGTACGAGATATACGACGACATTGACATAGTTCAGCGAATTAAAAGACAGCGGCTACGCTAGCTAGGTCATGTTGTCCGGATGGACGAAAACACTCCAGCTCTGAAAGTATTCGACGCAGTACCCGCCGGGTCAAGCAGAGGAAGAGGAAGACCTCCACTCCGTTGGAAGGGCCAAGTGGAGAAGGACCTGGCTTCACTTGAAATATCTAATTGGCGCCACGTAGCGAAAAGAAGAAACGACTGGCACGCTGTTGTTAACTCGGCTATAAACGCGTAAGCGGTGTCTACGCCAATCAAGAAGAAGAAGAATGTAATAATGCTTAGGAACAACCGAATAGAACGTTTTTTTATTGTTTAAGTAAACTCGAACCTATGAGTTTTATATTATTGTATTAGCATACATTATTTTATTGTTCCTGTGTATTTAAAAACCATAAACAATTTATTTGTAAGTATAATCGCGTAAAGTTACATGAACATCTAACAAAGTAATTTATATTAATATATTGTTGATCATTTATATAGAATTATTTGGTAAGGGTAAAGCTGAATTTTATTAAAATGTATTGTTTATTTTTAGTTCTCCTGGCTGTTTGCATACCAAATTTGGGGCCAATAATCTCTTTAGTGGGAGCTGTCAGCAGTTCGGCATTGGCGCTAATTGCTCCACCAATAATTGATATAATCACATTCTATCCTGTGGGTTTGGGCAAGTATAATTGGATATTATGGAAAGATATTGCAATACTGCTATTTGGCTTATGCGGCTTTTTCTTTGGTACTTATGCAAGCTTAGATCAAATTCTCAACCCAGGAATAAATTAGTTACCTATTTTAAAGACGAAACATGTATGAATTTAAATGTATCTTATCGAAAGCCGAWATAGTATAACTTACCGAGAATTGTAAGTAAAAAGTAACTCATTACAAAAATAAGAAGTGTAAACAAAAATATAACAAACAAATGTATATGCTATGAATTATTTTGATTTTGAGCTGTGAAGTGCTATTTTTATTAAAAAAAATTATTATTATATTACTAAATTGTTGTCCAGATGCATAATTTAGTGGATTTAATTTCTGTAAAAGCACATGAAAAAACGATAATGTCTATTTATTAACCATTAACAATGTAAGCTAAAATCCTTTATTTATAACAAAAACAAGCAATTAAGATATATCAGTTGCATAAATACAACTTCTGCATGTGCGTGAATTATTTAGAAGTTTTACCTTCCACAAGTCTTAAGGGGTTAGGGGTAGTCAGAGGCACGAAAAACGTGTTATTTTACAAAAATAGTAATATGGCATTATTATAGAATGTGTTGACTTGAAGTCACGAAAATTAAAAAAAAAAAGTTAATTTCCAAAGTTATAGTTGTTTGTGTTGACCCTGTTCCAAAAAAAGGTACATCTAAAATCAATCGGACAAAAAAATATTAGTTTTATAAATAGATAATCCAGGGCCTGATCGAAGGATTTTTTATTTTCAAAATTAACAAAATGACGGCCTCAGGAATTTTTTTTCTAAATTTTGGTGAAAAAATCAAGAGTTAATTGGTCTTAAAAATCTTTCGACCAGGCCCGAGTTTATTATGTATTCTAAAAGCTGTATAAATTTCATTAAAATCTACTGAGAGGTTTTCAGGTTACAGTTGGMAGCAGTTCAAAAAACATAGTTTTGAGAAAAACGCGTTTAAAGTTTCACACTAGCGCTTTGAAGTGCCCGAGCTCTCTTTGTTATTTGTCGAATAACACAAAAACTAATTATCGGCGCAATGTGAAAATTTCAGATAATATTTTTAAGATATTACACTTAACGAAAATCCAAAAAAAAAAAATAATAATTTTCTGCAAATTCTGACTACCCCTAACCACTTAAATCAAGTATAATATACATATTATGTAATATTCCAAAAGCTATCCATACTTCAGATTTGACAGGATCAGTATAAAATCTAAAATGTGCAATAGCAAATTAAAAACCACAAAATAAAAAAGAATGTATTATATACAAACAAGTAATAAAAGTGTAAGCGCCAAATGCATGTGGATAATATGACATCTTACAAACCAAAGCATTAAATGTTATAATATAAGTAGAAAATATAAGACATTACAAGAGTCACCATTCTCATTGTGTTTTAAGAATAAGACGTTGTATTAACATTGCCATAGCATATACATATTCAACTGTAACATTCCATTTAATGTCAATATATAATTTATTGCTCAAATACATTCATGAATATTGAGCAAGAGGCTATAGAAGGACACATTTTTCAGCCACTTGGAAAGAGATACTAACAATATTAAATATGATAAATGCCAGTTAGTCAGAGATCGACGAGAAAACTTCTTTTGTAACAATATTGATATAAAAAATCTATACAAGCAGTTGTATTTATTTTTAATATATTTTCCAATCAATACTCATTTTATCTCWGTACTTTATTTGTAAATATTTATTACTGCATTTTATTCGAATTTTTATAAAATTTTAATTCGTATACTACGTGTAGAGAATTAGTTTTCCTATTTATGATGTCAATCAAATAGAAATCGCATCTTGCCAAATAACGTTGATACTAATAATAGAGTTCTGGTGGGTTGTGTTACTTTGGATCATACATTCTTTTACAAAAAAAAAAAAAAAATGTAATCCATAATGTCGGAAAACTTTTTTGTTTTCTCATGAATTTCCGGTTTACATTTTGAAGATTTTGTGTAATTTACATCACCACATCCATGATTCAATTATATAAAGCAAAACGCATTTACATTGATTGAAATTTTTTAATCATAAAAACAAAACAATACCAGAGAAAACGGMTAATTTTCACATTGCGGATCAAATTACTTTTCATAAATTGTTGTTTTTGGGCTATCGACACAACCTTACACATATTTGGTTTTATGACTTAAAAATWAATTTTCAAATATTTCCACCAAAGAAAATGAGTTGTTTGAGTGATAACTGTATACGAATAAACATCTTCAAAATGTAAATAGAAAATTGAAGGGAGACAAACACCTCTTTCGTAAGAGGAAGCATGCCCCACATCGACACAACCTGTTTTTAATTAAATCATGGTTGAAATATTTGAAAAATGTTACTTTAAATTATAACAACAGTAAAAATTATCAAAAAAAAAAATTGGGAATTATTCAAAACATTAAAGTATGAAAGCAACTGAGGCAAAAACCGACGCACACTTTTAATGTATTATATAAGATGGTAACGTTTAAGTAATAATTTGGTATTATCTTTCCTCATTGTGCGCTACCAATATTTAACAAATTAATACAAATTTACGTCTTATATGATTATATACATATAGAACACTGACAATAACAATTTCCAAAATATTATACAGAGTGTATCAATGTAAAAAACGATAGTTTTAATAGCTAATATATTCTCAGACAATAAATTATACTTAAATATTACATGCATAAATATATACGTATTTATGTTATACAATATGATATATGTTCCAAAAAATATATAAAATTATAATTTACCAGCTAATTGTCTTATCTTGTAGAATTGAGTACAGAAGTTTTTGGGCCATGAATCTGAAAAAAAAGTAGTAATATGCTATTAATATTAGTATGATATTAAAAGAGCTATGGTTACTACTAAATATCCTACACATTTGTATACATACTTCTTTTCCTATTTGTATATAAATTTACAACTAATTTCTGAAATATAACATACCTCATTGCATGTGTTGGAACTGATGACATAAATAAGACAAAAATAGTGTTTCCAATGGTATCATAATGAGCATAGCACTTATGGTAATCCAAGCACCAATATTGGTCCACTGGTTCAATACAACGCGAATCTGTATGCACAAAACTAATATTTTTATTGTATTGAACGGTTTGATCGAAAATTTTTTTTAATAAATCTAGACGTAGAATGCCTCCTCCTACTGTCCTTTTTCCACCTGTAGCTTGGATGGAATTAGGTGCAAGTATACATTTTTTAATGTTCAAATTAGCTACAATTATTGCCAGAACACACTGATCGATCTCCAACTGTTCGGGTAAACTCCGCTTTATGCTTCGTTCCATGTTCTGCAATAAACTTTCTGAGCAAAATGCGCCTTGGGCCATAGACCGCAATTCACGAAAACTAGGGGCAGCGCCGCATATAACACAAATAACACTACTTGGAGCCAATGGAATTGTTACGAATCTATATGCTAACTTTTAAATAAAATAAGATAAAATTATTGAACAAATTAAAAACATTTTTTCCTACCGTTGYGTCTTTTTTCGGCAAATAAACAGGAATGTCATTTTGTAAAGAACTTGAAGAATTCAATAAAAGCAGAAGTAATTCACGATCAATAACATCCAAATCCCACCAGCCTTCTGTACCGACCGTAACATTATTACCAACTACAAGGCAACAAAAGAGTGAACCGCAAAGACCACTAAAATCGTTTAATCGCTGACCCAATTGTTGGTTTTCAGTTGATAGTATACAATTCGTAAATCCCAATACGCGTGTTGTGCAAGCTTCAAGCGCAGCATCTACAACAGGCATATAATTTCTTGCTTCTTTCTTCATTCTCTCTAGCAAAGTTAGATCCACAAGCTCATCAATATTAACAAAAAGTGATATTGACCCAAAAACTATTTCGGCTAATGTCTGCAATACTCCTTCAGTCATAGACCGTGCACAAACAATTAAAGTTACGGCATTGTGAAAATCTCTCCAAACGTATGTCCAATCTTCGGAATGTGTTACCTGTAACGTTATGCCCAACGATTTAAAAAACATATGAAAACCATTTAACGAAGCCACAGTAGAAAAAGGTAGCTACAAAAGGAACACGGAATTAGTGTGAGTTAGTCTTCAGAAAAATTAACAAGAAAAAGTTTAGCTCACGTTGTCACAATCTCCTTTTTTGCGGGTAAAGACCGGTAGACCTCCATTTGTTGTTAAACAAAGTATATAAATCGACATAGTTTCAAAAAATAAAAGCCAATTAGAACTCAAAAAACACTAAACATAAATACAATGACAGTGTTGCCAGATTAACAGTGCTAAAATCGGCTATAAAAACTGTACCAAATGGTAATATTTTTTTCTGTGTGTGCTGTCAAATGGAAAATAAAATTTGAGTATTTAAAATTCACACATGTGATTATGACCATAACAAGCCATTATGTTTAAATTATTAAATATATTCGAAAAATCAATAAAATTAAAAAAAAAACATAAAACAATACTTATTTTTCTTCAATATTCCCTGGTTGCCAGTATTATCATGGGCATATATTTATTTCTCTTCATATTCAGGTTCTCTTGTTGAGTATGTAAACAATATTAACATTTCATGGCGTGAATTCCATCGTTCTGAGGCGAGTTCCCCAGTTGAAATTTTTCAAATGCTCCCTGTCGAACCTGCACCTTCTCATTGTTTTATATTCTCTGGTTTAGATTTCGCATCAGAAATGTTTTTGGTTTTCTGTATTGTGGAAATACATATTGTAACTATTGAAATATAAGAATTATTAAATTTATGGAATAAAAACCTTTTTCCTTGATTTTATCTATTAAAATAAAAAATGCATAATTGTTAAATAATGAATAAGATAGTATATTTCATTTTTCAGCTAGTTTTCGCCCATTATCGCAACTTGTCGGGTTTCGCAGTCATATTCTTGTGGATAGCTAATAGCTATTAGCAGTTAAGAAATAAACCTGTACATTCTCGTGTGAACTTAGTGTTATTATTTTAGATCATAACATAATAAAAACTTGCATTGCCTGTCCCAAAGCATATATATAACTGACTATATATATATAACCAGCTGTCACAATGATATGTTGAGTATATAGAAGATTTTATTTTGAATTATTATTATAAATTTTATCCCACGGATTGCTAATTAATACTATGTTATACCAATAAAACTATCGGTCTGTTTTTGATTTATTCTTGTTTTCTACTCTTTGGCTCTTCTTCACGCATGGCTCTTGCACAGATTGCCAGTGTGGTAATTCAAAACGAAACCGATTACCGCTTAATAATCTTAACATTATTCTACAACGTTATTTTTTAAATTCGTCCATAAAAAGTAGTTAGTTCAATGTTTAAATTTTAGTTTCATTTAAATAATGTCTTATAATATAGATTTTGCGTCTGATTTCATTAGAGAAACAACAATTAATAAAGTTGTTCAGTGTAGTGTCAAACAGCGGTTCGTTGATTTTAGTAATTACAAATACAACTCTGGGACGCGTTATTCTTGGTATTATGTTAAAAGACGAATTTTACATCAAAGGAAACGACGAAAGTGAAGATTTTCTAAGTCTGAGGATTTGTGTGAGTTTCGTTTTGCGGTCATCAGCGTTTTTTTTAGTAGAAAAATCGCTAATATTTTGTTAAATTTTATAAATTGTGAGTGTGAAAGAGTGTAGTGAGTTCACTTAAGGATTTGAATGAACAATTACGAGTGGGTTTCGCCATTTATTAAAAAGATATATCGTCCATTAGTTTTCTTTTACTCTTTCGCATTTTTAATTAAATTCGAGGCGAACACTATAACGACGGCTGCTGATACTTGGTAGGTAAGTGCGATACATAAAGCAAAGAAGAAGAAGAGTGTATGTGATGGATGTATTTGCGGGACACGCACATTTTCCTGAAAACTTTAATATTACTGAAAAATGTACGATTGTTCTTCAAAGTAAATAAAAAAGTACAAAAACTTTTATATTAACCAGTTTTAAGAGGCAAAGCACTTGCAAACAAAATCATATGGAAATGTAGAATGTCGCATGCGACGCAATTGCCTGAAAGTTTTAAGAATAATGGAGCATATAAAAATATACATATATATATAATCACACATTTTGCTAAATGATTKATAAAATAAACCATTTCAACGTTTTCATTTTGTTTTTAACTTTCAGATTCATCTGTGAAATACCACATAAAAATATACAATATTTAAATATACAAACTCCCTGAACAAAAACTCGTCTTCAACAAAATTAATCCTAACATCAACGATAGACGCAGACGAGAGCGCTGCTTTTATTATAAGGCAATGGCGATGCTTTCGACGGAGGAAGCCAGCAAATTGTTGGACTTTTCTCAGAAGCTTGACATTAGCTTATTAGATAAGATTGTGGAATGCTTGTATACGTCGCAGGGAGAGCAGTTGCGCCTTGCACAAGATATTCTTACAACATTGCGTGAGCATCCAGATGCATGGACGCGAGTCGACAGCATATTAGAATTCTCTCAAAATCAGAGAACGAAATATTATGCACTACAAATATTGGAAGAAGTAATTAAAACTCGTTGGAAAATTTTACCCCGCAACCAGTGTGAGGGAATCAAGAAATATGTTGTTGGACTTATTATTAAAACATCCTCAGATCCTGAAACAATGGAGGCAAATAAAGTTTACTTAAACAAGTTGAATTTAATATTGGTACAGATATTGAAACGGGAATGGCCTCGCAACTGGGAAACATTTATTAGTGACATTGTAGGGGCTTCGAAGACAAACGAAAGCCTTTGCAAGAATAATATGGTTATTTTAAAAAACCTTAGTGAAGAGGTTTTTGACTTTTCTGCTGGGCAAATAACTCAAATGAAGGCTAAACATCTGAAAGATACCATGTGCTCAGAATTTTCGCAAATATTTCAACTTTGTTCTTTTGTTTTGGAAAGTTCTATGAACGCACCTCTAATCCAAGTTACTTTAGAGACATTGCTCCGATTCCTGAGTTGGATTCCATTGGGTTATATATTTGAGACAGCATTAATTGAAACACTGATTTATAAATTTTTAAGTGTCCCAATGTTCCGTAATGTTACATTGCAGTGCCTCTCTGAGATTGCAGGCCTCTCTGTGCCCGATTATAACGAAAATTTTGCGAGAATGTTCAAGGATACGATGGTGCAATTAGATCAAATGATTGGACAAAATCCCAATATGAGTCATATTTACGCTAACGGCAGTAGCACTGAACAAGTTTTTGTTCAGAATTTGGCAATGTTCTTGTGCACATTCCTAAAAGAACATGGTAAACTTGTAGAGGACGTCAAATATATTGACTATTTAAATCAAGCTCTACTTTATTTGGTAATGATTTCCGAAGTTGAGGATGTTGAGGTATTCAAAATTTGTATGGAGTACTGGAATAATCTGGTTGAGGATCTCTATAATAGCGAAACATTTGTGGGCGCTACAACGCATATTACTCAAACTGATGCAGTATCTTTAGCTAAACGTAACGTTTTTCCTCGACGTCGCTTTTACGGGAATATCTTGTCTAAAGTTCGATATATTATGATTTCAAGGATGGCTAAACCTGAAGAAGTACTTGTTGTCGAAAATGAAAATGGCGAAGTTGTTCGAGAATTTATGAAAGATACAAATGCCATAAATTTATATAAGAATATGCGCGAAACTCTCGTATTTCTTACCCATTTGGATTATGCTGACACAGAACGCATAATGACATTAAAGCTAATGAATCAAGTTAATGGTACAGAGTTCTCATGGAAAAATCTTAACACGCTTTGCTGGGCTATAGGATCCATATCAGGTAAGCTTTAATGTTAAAATGAATTTTTTATTATTATATTAAATTATAAAGTTTTGGGATAAGTTATCATGTAGGAATGTATTCGTTTGAGATTTTTCTTCCTTGGAGTATGGGTATGTTAAGATTGCTATGAAATTTTTAACCCAAAATGAAAGTTTGTAGTCCSCATAAAGCATATATTTATTTATTTATTGACGATCTGAGTCAATTTATCTAGTCCATCTGTCTGTTCGCCGCTTTCACATATGTGCATTATTCCCTCAGTTTTTGAATAACGATCCGAAACTTTGTACACRTAATTTTTCCCCTCCAAAAACTGCTCATTTGTCGATTCGGATCACCATTACATATAGCTGTTACACAAAAACTTTTCGATCAAAATCGACTTGTATGGTAAATATTTTTTTATCTCCATGAAATTTAAGAAACGCCTTAATCCCATTGGGCAATATCTAGTTTTTACAAGTTTTTTTTGTTTCCTTTTTTCATTTGTTATCAATATTGTTATACTATTTTACAATTTAAATTTGATTTTTTTAATATATTACCACAAAGTATTGTGTAGAAAACAGTATCATTTCACTTAATTTTATTTGGTATATAATCTCAAGCCTTTGTGAACTTATTTTTAGGTGCTTTCTGCGAAGAAGACGAAAAACGATTCCTCGTTACAGTTATAAAAGATTTACTTGGCTTGTGCGAACAAAAGAAGGGTAAAGATAATAAGGCTATCATCGCCTCGAATATCATGTATGTTGTTGGACAGTATCCACGTTTTCTGCGTGCTCATTGGAAATTTCTGAAAACTGTTGTGAATAAACTTTTCGAATTTATGCACGAAACGCACGATGGTGTGCAGGATATGGCTTGCGATACATTCATAAAAATTGCCATCAAATGTAGACGCTACTTTGTGACCATACAGCCGAATGAGGCATGTACCTTCATCGACGAAATATTAAGTACCATGAGCAGCATAATTTGTGACTTGCAGCCTCAACAGGCAAGTAGAGATTAAAAATGTATGTGTSATCGTATTTTATAACTAATTTAAATGTTTATCATTAGGTACATACGTTCTATGAAGCAGTTGGCTACATGATTTCCGCACAAATTGATCAAGTACAGCAGGACGCCTTAATTGAGAAGTATATGTTCTTGCCAAACCAGGTTTGGGATGATATAATCTCACGTGCCTCCAAGAATGTTGACTTTCTCAAAAATATGACAGCTGTAAAGCAGCTGGGTAGCATTTTGAAGACGAATGTAGCCGCATGTAAGGCTTTAGGGCATGCCTATGTAATTCAGTTGGGACGTATATATTTGGATATGCTTAATGTCTATAAAATAACATCTGAGAACATAATTCAGGCAATTGAGGTAAACGGTGTCGTTGTAAATAATCAACCGCTTATAAAATCAATGAATGTTGTAAAAAAAGAGACTTTGAATTTAATTTCGGAGTGGGTATCGCGTTCTAATGACAATCAATTGGTTATGGATAACTTTATTCCGCCACTACTCGATGCTGTTTTGTTAGATTACCAGGTAAAAAACAGTAGTACATAAACATATTTAAAAACATAAATACATACATATTTATTTGATACAACAAATTTTCTTTATAGCGTTGTAAAGTGC